TTTTATTTAAATTTATACATATATTGTACCATTCATATCTGTTTACATTTTTCCCGTTCGATATATGATTTTCGAAGATTTTACAAATGTATTATAAACGGAAACCAATATTCAAAAAACTTTGTTCGGCAGTTATCAACAGTTATAATTTCACAGCTTTACAGCTAACTGCAACTCCAGCTCCGATAAAATAATAGAAAAATATTTCAAATACATTTCGAATACAATCTTCTTAAAATCTGTGGCAAAGTCGTAGTAAAAATGTTGCGTGCTTTCAATATCACATTCAATGCCAGTCTTAACAGCAAAGATTACTGTTTAAAACAATTTCATATGTCGTCACAATTAGAAATTTTTCCTCATTTTTATTGTGTTGTTCTTTCTGTTGAATGATAATTGATTTAATTAGTTGTTTACAAAGAAGGTTCTCTTTAACCTGTCTCTCTGTAAGACAGAGAGTAATATGCTTAACAGAAATAAAAGTGAAATTTTTCTACAGTTAAAAAAACATCAGAAATGTTTGTGAAAATGAATGTCCATACTTAACAATAAGCAATAAGAAAAATATACTCTGCAATCACCATAGCTCAGCACGGGAGATCCAGAGTCACGTCTGGACCAAGCACAATGTCTTGAGAAATACTGAAGAGATAAAATCATTCATACGCACACACTGTAGACAGTTGCAGAGGTCAAAAAACTAAGTGAATCGAGGCCATTATAGATCAACACAACGGACTAAGACTGTTTTATTCACGAAAACATGACTCCCATGTGATAACGTTTTCTGTAGGCCGGGGGGAGATGTCGCCGGATAGCAGTCAACTGTGACAATACAAAAAAAGTGGTATACGGGTAATAAAATTGGCAGTGTATAGATAATCTATTATAACAAATCGATCAGAAATACTTCCAACCTCCTTGGGATCTGCAGAGGGTGTGCAGAAAACCTTTTAGCTTTATATTACCTTAGATGGTTTTCAGGTGGAATCAGAAAAGTTCATAGCATTTTTCATCTATACTGGTTGCGAACGCCGACAGAAGGGAAGTGTGAGGATCGTTTTGAATTCAGAAATAGCTTTAGATTACGAACCTTATACATAAAAAAAGAAAAGAAATCAAGCCACTAGTGTAATATCATTTATTTGTATTCTGCATTAATGAGTAACATGTGTAACAAAGCACTATTGGAGCACCATGTGCACCAAAACGTGAACGCACATTTTCCTTTGTGTAACTTATCTGTATATTTTGATGTGTGTAAAAAGTTGTTATTAAAAAGCACAAGAATAGTTTATCTCTCTCGCTTTCTACTCTGCAAATTATAGTGTAGATTTCGTTAGAAACTAGGCGAAATAACTGAAACTGTTGCATCTTTCTAAGGACTTACGCAAACGAAACTATCGGTTATTGTCGCTTCAATAATGAAAGCAAAATTTCTTTCAATGAAACTAATATTGTAATTATGTTCAGTAGTTCTTTTTAGAAGTGTTGGAAGTGGATATGTGGAGATCACGATTACTTATCGCAATCTATGTAATCTTAAGAAATCCGACCTGACATAATCAAATGGTGATCGAGATAAAGTCTTTGAATTACTACCATAATTGATGTATTTAGATAATATTGATAGAAAACGGGTAAGCTTCCTTTCTCTGATTACTTTTAAAAAGGTTTTCGAAAAGCTCTAAAATCCGGTTTTTTGGAAAAATACTCTGTTTTGATAAGCTGTTGCGAATAAAATGGATTTGAATAATGTTATCAAATAAAATAAATAAATTAATGTTAAAGAGCAACATTTCTGATCAAAATGAGACGTGTTTCAGTTCTGGATGGTATTTCAATCAAAAGTTATAAACATTTTTTAAAAGCATCACGATATATTGGCATCACCTAAACAACGATTTTTTGCTTAGACCTATTCATATTTCTCAAACTACCCCCTAAGGAAACTTATCAGATCGATCTTAAAACCTTAGACTTGGTTTATTTTCCAATATGGAAGTATAGACACAGTAGAAAGAGTTATACTGTAGCTAGCTCGAAAAAAGCCTGATTTTTGTGGATATTTCCATGAAAAAAATTACTCTGAACAAATAAGGAACGAAAATACCCTTAATTGATCATTCAGAAGTTCATAAATTTTATTTATTGATTCAATCGTCTGTTGGATTTATCAGTAGTATCATCAATAATTTTTTACCTTAGATTAAACTCGAAGGTGAAGCGACACAAGTCTTGAAAGTTGATGCTTACGATACAGGAGATGATATAATGAAACCTTTTTTGTGTCTTCTCTTTTTGCTAACTTATCTGTACTGCAAGATGCGGAATTGTAGTAGGATAATCGAAATTCAGTAAAAAATTGGATATTAGCGCGTTCACTTGGTTCATACGTAACATATACGACGAACTCTAAGATGGAACCGACTGTATAACAAAAGTTTTCGTTAATAAACAATAAAAGATGGCGAAGTAGTTTCCATCGGTATACTGTAATATAAATTTGACCGAATCATCGTGGCAAATGCTTAAGCCTTGTGAAGTCACTAACAATTTTTTCGACTGTTGTATTCTTTTAACAAAAATAATTTAAAAAGTCTTCTTTTCTCTGCAAATATGAACCAATTTCGTTGTTTTTAACCTAAAAGGACAGTTCAATTTGTATGTGTTCCGTAAGAAGTTATAATTACAAAAATAACAAAAGATTCAACAGTTTTGTTTATTTTTCATTATAAACGCTTTACGGAAAAGAAATTCTTGAAAATAAACTTGGTCTCTCTCGCTGTTCTTCGTCTATTTGATAGAAATTTTAAATTAAGTACGCGTTTAGGAGAACGGAAGGAAGCGTTTGACATCAGTCTTACTCGAGAAGGTAAATGACAGTTTAGGAAATTTCAACATGAAATATCTAAAAGCTAGTTTTGTTTCGACAAACTGGTATTTTCACACGCGATGCGGCCGAAAATAATATAGAACTATTTGATTTTTAGCAACCGAAACGCAAGAAAAGCTCTCCTTTATGCGTCTGTCTTTGTTTTAGATCTCTTGTTGAGCTGTTAAATATGGATCTATACAACATATGTGGATTTCCGTTATATACATATCGGTGAGACATTGTTTTTCTTTTTATATATACGAAGCTATTTCAAGTGTTGTTAGTTCATGCTGGAATAGAAGTACTAGTGACCTTAGATTTTTTTGTGAACTTACTTGTGTTTGTTTTTTTCCGTGGGCATGCTTCGTTTTTCTTTTGTTTGTTTACTTATTTGTTTAACTTCGTTCTTCAAATGGTGCTCAGTGTTTTTAATTTTAAATTATACTATCAAGTGCTTATGACTTTTTAAATAAAATGTATGTACAGGTTGTTATTCTTTTTATTCTGTTCACAGAAACGAATATAAATGAAAAGTTGAAGAATTTTATATTTTTTTAAATTCCTATACTGACCTTCAACACCAAAGTAATAGCGAAGTTAGTGTAGCAAAAGAGAAGTACCGAAATTAAAAGTGCTATTGAAAAGATTAATGCTAAATCGGGACATTCTCAGAACACTTCTGAGCAGATCATTTGTGTGTTTAGATAGAGAATTTTCGCTGTGAACTCGAATAAACCCGAGAGGAATAAATTAGAGTTTATCTTGATAATAAATGCTTTTTCCCGTCTAGGCTGGAAGATCTGGGGATCGTTTCGTCAATATTATTAAATGGATCATAATTGAATTGAGCACTCAAATCTTTACTTAGTTTTAATTTGATTTATATTTTGATGTTTCATTAAAAATTTTGAATGGCAACTTAAGTGTCAATGCAGTAAAACAATACTCTAAAACAAACTAACCGTTGATTCAAGTTTGTACCGAAGATCATGAACTTAAGAATATTGATGAAATGACTCTCTGGGCTCAGATCTGCAGTATCCTTTAAAGTTTCATTTCTTTTGTCCTACCATTTGTCATCTAATGAGAAAAAGAAAAATGGCAGAAAGAACAGATAAAAAAAAATTTCTAGAAAGATGTGCCGAACTCGCAGCGACAGATACAGAATTATTTTAGTGGAAAATTTTTAGCAAGAGTTGAAAAAATATTCGCAGAGCTGGCGAATGACGTTTTTTTGGTTCTTACTCTTTGGAAGAGGAAAAGCTACGCCACATCCGCCCTTCCTAGGTTGATTTCCACTTAGTTATAGTATAACATCTCTTTTCCATTCTTTTTAATGTTTACTCCAAAGATGCAGATCATTTCCTTCGAAATCAGATATTATCAGACTTATTTCGTCGTGTTTTCTTGCATTTTACAAAGTTGTTGAGCAGAAAAAAGAAGAAAATCTTCCAAAAAGTTTTTAAAAATCTCTTCGCTTTCTGCTTTCTTTTAGCGCATGGCGGTGCCTGTACTTCTGAAACCATTTGATTAACAAAAACAGAACGAAGAAATGCTTCTTGCTGTTTAGTGTTGAACTTGGCATATGTGGAGCAAATGCGCTACTGTCAAACCACATAATAGCTCTGGTTAATCATCAAAAAAACCCTTCGCATAAATTTTATTATGGAACTTCTCGTGATTCTCATAAATCTTATTTATAAAAAATAGAAAAAATGACCATTCATTAGGAGAAAAACGTCGCACATTTTTTTTGCAAAAGTTTTTGCTTATTATATAGCATGTAAAGTAACCTGACGGAATAGTGAATGACTAGTTTTAGCAATTCCATCATAACGTAAAATCCTCTCTATTACTGGAAAATGAAATCAGCTATCACGAAAAACTAGAATCTTCAGAATTTTCTAGATCTCTCTAGTTTTTCATTTTTTTGGGATCTCTTAAAATTTTACTGAGAATCGTTGAATACGATTTTCGATTATCTCATGCATATCATCAATATTGAAAGGGAAAATTCTTTCTGTAGAGAAGCTTCGGAGCGGCATACATGCTAGCATATTATAACCATGTCTGTCAACAACTCACTGAATATAATTTCAGCTATTTTTCAGACTAATTTGAAATGCCATCGATATGTGAAAAACCACGTATACCATATATTCATACAAACTTCGATATTCAGCAATATACAACTCAATATGAACTTCAATCAGAAAGAAAGGTAATGGAGTTTTTAGACGAAACAAGGATTAGATGAACAAAAAGATTCATTTTCCATTTAGTGTTTGTTTTTCTTAAATGTGATCAATCCGTACAAAGATGAATATGGCACTAATGATTCCCTCCATCAAACAATTGTTAATATATTATTAAAACATTTAAAAATGACAATCAAAGATCAATATAATGCGTGGCCAAGTAGGTTATAGGTTTATGTAATCTCAAATAGTTAAAATCATCGTTTATCGGTCAGTTTTTTACGCATACTACTTTTCTAATTATATATTTTAATATTTTAGTGTATAATGTTGCTTGTTCGTCATTAACATTGAAATATCTTTACACGACAAATGAATTAAATTTTCAATATTATCCTTCCGATATTATTTGTAAAGAGTAAGAATTTAAGTAAACTTTTTCTTATATTAATTACAAAATTTTTTTTTGTTCTTGCTTAGGTATGCTCATCTACATGGAATTTGTTGGTCAACTGTTAAACAAGATAAATCACTTTATGATAAAATGAAAGAATATTTGAATAATTTTCGTCATGAAATTATTGATTTACTGAATGAAAATAAAATGATGGTATTAATGGAAGAAGAATTTAAATGAATAAAAATAATAAACGCACTATTTCACTTCTGTGAAACAATATTGCTTATTTCTTTTTTTTTGTATGTCCAATTCTATTTTTGTTGTTATTCTATCTTTTTCTTTTTCTCTCTCTTTCTTTCTTTAGCGTACAGTGCTTTATTAATAAATAAATAAATTATGCTGTGATTATGAACTGAAATCATGTTTTTATATGTTAATAGAAGATAGAAACTATTCGTAAATCACTGAGTGATGCTGTAAAGTTAATTTACACAGAATTTACTTAGTTAGTTTACAAACTAACTCATCAACAAAATTTTGCATAGGGAATGATCATTGTAGTCTAAGTACTTTCCCTAATACCTATATGTTTACTAAAAAATGAAAAAGTAAAGACAAAAGATAAATCGTACTTTACATGATTGTCAAAACAGTTTGAGTAGAGTAAAGATAAATTCTTTACAATGAGCTTATAGAACAATAATAAAGTCTTATTTAGTTTCGACATTTACTATTCTAAGCTAGTATAAGTAGCAATAAACGTTTTCACCATCTAGATTTAGTTTTATCAAAACACAAACAAGTATTCTTGATAGATGTGCATTTCTTACAACATGTGTTACATCATGAAATAGTTAGTAAATACTAGAAATAAACTACCCGGTACATATGAAAAGAGAACAGTGTTGTAGTCAACATAATTACGTACAAGAGAAATCTGATAATGTTGTTGAAAATTGTATTTTCAAGTACGACACTAATGAGCTCTCGCATACATCAGAAACCATTACGTATTTATCTTGTACTATTTTCATTCTCCACAAACTACTATTGTTTGTGGAGTCGAAACTTATTTGTTTTATCCTAAATAGACAATTTTATCTTGAATAAGAACAAAAATGATATAACAAGTACAAACGAATAAGCATAGTTGAGTCAATCGTTATCAGTAAAACAGTTGAAAACATTTCGTTAAGTTGTCCGAGAATGAACACGACTTCTCTCGATGCCATTAGGACTGAATGTTGTTTGTCGTTGTATTAATTCTTGCACTTTATTGACAGGACAATCTGAATATGTGATGTTATTGAATATAAGATATAAATAATGTATGAGAAATAAAAATTAGGTGCACTTTTTCTAACAGTAAAAATATTTGAACAATCACGAGATTTATTCTCTTGATAAGTACTGCATTTTTCATCATAATCATATTTTCCAATATTTGTTTATTTTAAAACAGTATTTTCCACTCGAAATGTGTTTTCTTTAATATTTTTCTATTACTGCATAACTTACAATTTCAATAGTTAGTATTACTAATAATCGCATTATCATCTGATAACGAAGCCGTTCAATGATCTATATCACCTGGTAACCTTTTTTTATTACGACTCGATATTCACATTTTTAATAATTCTATTACTATTTTATTAAATTCTAATTGAAAATAATTATAGATTGTTATGAAGACTTAATCCTTTCATCATCGGGTAATGTATGATATAAAATAAGTTTCAAATAGATTAATATCTTTTTCCATACATTTTTGTGTTGTTATTCTTCAGTGAAGTTAATATTGTTGGTGAAAACTGTTGTCAGTGTAATTTGCCAAGCAAACATTACATTGATCCATTAATATTCAATGGTCTTTAATTAAATATTACAGATGTTTGATAAGGATAGAGTATATCACTTACAAGAAATAAGCGATCAATAATATTTAGAACAATGAAGATAATTGCACACTAAAATTATCATTAGGACAAAAAATATGAAATATCTAAATTCTTTTAATTATTTCGAACGAATGAAAATAATATTAAACAATGTTTGTTTGTCCACTTTTCTTTTTATTTTGTAGAATTTATATAGATAAGAAAAACAAAATATTTATCGAGCAGTCTATCCATGACTTGAGACTATAAGTCTGTTTGTAGTAATTTTGGCATTTCGATGAAATATTGTCAACATATAATAAATCATCTATTGATAAGTTCTTCTTTAGAAAGCGAATCATCATCCTTGCGCGTTTTTTCGTTGCATCGACTTGTATAAGATAAAATGTTGTATTTAAAATATTTGATAATGATTATGTAGATTTCATTGATTAAAAATCGATTCAATTAAATCAATAGATGTACAATGTACATTCTTGTAAAATGAATGGATAGTCTTCAAAATGGATCGCTGTTTCCAATAGAATGTTCATCATTCACACAATATTTCCTGTCATAATACGATTATCTGTTCATTCGTGTGCAATGTTTGAACGATCTTCAACACTTAACAAAAAATAATTTATTTCAAAATTACCGTAAATAGCCACTTATAGCCCGCTTAAAGGAGTTGTCGAAAATTTCATTAATTGATTTCTTTGGATAGTAATTGTCAACCCATAAAAACTAAAAATAAATATTACAGAAAATTTTTACTATTCAGCGTACCACATTCTCCACAAATAAAGTAGTAAAACATCCTTTGCATATGTTGTCATTATTTGTACATTCATTTTATGCTTAAATATCTGAACTTAGAAAGTTTACCATATCTATATTTCATATTCGGTATCAGTGAATATGTCTTACTAATTTTCTAACAATGTACACTATTATTTTCTTATCAAAAAAAAAATATCAAGCATAGAAAAACACTTAGGATAACAAACTAAAATAAAAGAATAAATATCACGAAATAACAATGTATATGTAAAAATTTATTTATTGAATAAAAAACAACTCTTCATAATGCTTGCTCATCTTCCAGTTAAAACGTTAACTAATTGTTTTCTTTCAATAACAATTTATATATTCGTTATTGGACGATCAACTAATTGAGATTGGTTTTTTACTTTTATTACCTGTTTTCTATCTGTTTAATGGTTTCGTTGCCTCAATATTATCGCGCCGCTGAACATCGCTTTTTTTCTGACGAGATTTATTTTGGTTTTTGCTTCGCAAAAATCGATTTGCTATACAGAGAGCAACAACACATACCATTATTACAAAAATAATGCTACAAAGGCTGATAACTAATTTTAAACGGGTCATGAGAATTGGTGACAATGATTTTTGTAATAATTTATTGTTTTGAGTAGCAGTTCTATTAATAGACGGTCGTATGATTTGTAATTTTGTTTGATCGGGTTTAGACAAGCTTTCATATTGAGATTGGTACTCGACACTATCTACATTTGATTGAATTGTTAATGCATAAACTAATTGGAATAAATAAACAACGAGAGTACAAAGACAAATAATGTTCCATCGTATAACACTCATTATTATTCACAATATTGATCAAATTCTGAACGAGAAACAGATGATATCTAACAGACAATTCTATTTCTTTTTCTTTAGATTGCAATGTTGAAGTTCAGATTAAAGTCTAACTGAGTTTAAAACTAAACTAGTTCACATCGAAATTTTAATAAAAACTCGTCAAAACTTCAATTTGAACTAGTCTATTTTAAAGTATTTTACATTAGAATGCTTTACTTTGAAATTCAATAATTAACTTGCATCATATTTAAATATAAAACCGATAAAGTTTCCGTGTTCTTCAATACGAAGAAAGTTTTTCTGTGATACATCAGTTTCTTCTGCTGCGAAGTATCTGTCGATTTAAAATTGATGAGTTGATAAAGGTGCAGTAAATCATTGAAATTATTATTATCCAATTAGAAGTACTTCTATCAAATTCTTTAAATAATGTAGCTGCATATGTTCTCCTATTATTTCTTTTTCATCAGCAGATATGCTCGGATCATTTTCTTTCATTTATTATTCAAGTGGAACGGGACAGTCTGTCGTTCGATTGGAATCTAACCATTTACCAAGAAGCTATTGCATGACCACATTTTCATACTCAACTAAGTCTCATGACCAAGGGTATCGACGACGTCCGCTTATAATAACCCAATCATTCTATGTTGTTTTCAAACCATGAATTAACGGGTGACGCATAATAAACGGGGCACTTTTGTTCTTTATTTTTAAGGCACTTCCGAATGATCTAAAAATCTAGCTCTGGTCTCATCCGATAGAAAATTGAATTCTCTACAAAACCTGCTTTTTGAATCTCTGATAGCATTTTTCTCGTTTGAGCACTACTCAAAATATTGAATAGTGCTAAATGCTCAAACTGCGACGTGCTTTTGTTATATGCTTTTTTGAGATTTTTAGCCCATTGTCTGAGGTTCAGTAGTTGCTTTTCTAGGTAGAAAAATAGAGAATTTTGTGCTTTATCGGTCTCACTCATTTATAACTTCATATAATGTTTTCGCTACGTCAGCTGGACTCCTAAATAGTTCTCAACCGGCTTTTCACGCTTTTTCAAATTAAATTAATTTTATAATTAATGGTTTCAATT